CCCCCCCCACCCCCCCAGCCTGTCCAGGTCCCTCTGAAGGGCAGCACAGTCTTCTGGTGGGTCAGCAGCTCCCCCCACCCCCAGTTTAGTATCATCAGCAAACTTGCTGAGGGCGCACTCTGTCCCTTCCTCCAGGTCATTGATGAATATATTGAACAAGACTGGACCCAGGACTGACCCCTGGGGGACACCACTAGCTACAGGCCTCCAACTAGACTCTGCGCCACTGACCACAACCCAACCAATGGTATGATGTGGGAGAATTATCCTTTGTGCAAAACCACTGACGGATGCTTTTCAATTCATTGACAGATAAATAGCTAGAAATACTACAGGAAGCAGCCACAGAGCTTTGAGAAGGCAGCCCATATGGAGTAGGTCACAAGCCACACAATCTACCTGGCTTGCAGCCCATTCCCTATCATGTAGCAGAAAAATGAACATTGGACTGGAGGAGCATTTCTGGTTGACTGCACTCACCCACTGGCTGTAGGCTCAGCATCTTTGACTTAAGTTGAAGGACAACACTGGTATAAGAATAAATGTGTATTTAATAACCACCAAAGACAAAGATTAAAAGTTATACGCATGCTTCTGATCAGCAGAACAGTGAACAATTACATTGAAAGTAATTGAAAAGAAATCCAGTAAGACTGTGAATAGAGCTTTACTCTCATATGAAAGATTATACGACACGGCCAAATGGATTTTGTGGCCTAGGAGATCTTTGCTCATCACTCATAAAACATCCATTGGTTATTAAGCCTCCAGGTAATAAAACAATATAGATTAATCGAGCATACAGAATAATTTAAGATATGTACGGTCAAATCATTTGTTAGGAAAAATACAAGGGTGGCTAAAACCATATCATCTTGTGTCAAAACCTGTATATATTAATGAAAATCACTTTTTTCATTAGAAAAAAAATTTAAAAATGAAAAACAATTTTACAGTGAAGAACTTCAATTTAAAAATTATTGAAAGTTTCCAAGACACGGAAAATGTTTAGGTAAGGAAAATGTTTACTTCTTTTCGAGCAAAACTCACTATTTTGACACTTTCAGTAGCTGTGAAGCCAATTCTGCAACAAGTCCCTTACTGAGTCTTAAGGCTTTAAGAAAACAATTCACTTGTGTGAACACGATTCAGTACCATAGCCTGTTTTGCTCCATGTGTTTTGATTTTTGTTGGGTGAGGCTAAGCCCAAGACACTATCTAGATTTTAAATATATCTTTTGCTTGTAATTATTAGTATAAAAAAGTGACATCAAGTAAAATATTAAAGTCGTAGCTACATTTCAACGGTGAACTAATTTGTTATTCATTGCATGCCTGTAGCACTGTCAACAACATTGTTCTTGCTAAAGCACAGGCTTTGTTAACACTAAAACAGTTCTGTAAGAAAACAGAGATGTCAGCATGATCAGTGTATACATGGCAGTAGTGTATGGCCAAGCACGGCAAAGATACATAAGCAGGCTCAGCGATTCTAAACAGCAGGAGTGTTATCACTCATTTCTGATTCTTCTTTGAAACACCTTGAATTTGTGATATCTGTATAGCACAGCTGCCATCACACTATGCGTTTTGGTGGAGATGGAGGAAGCTTTAGAATTTAACTAAAGATGACTAAAGTCCTAAAGAGCTGAATTCAATTCATTCTTAATTTTTTTTTATTAAAAGAATAGGCCTAAAGGGGAATGAAAACGCTAAATAAGGTAGGAAGCCACCTTTCCCGAGAAAATTGTACCTAATCTCAAGACAAATTGATAATTGGAAATAGCAAGGTTATTCAAAATAATGATGGTATATCAAAGTAAACAAAGCAACTGGATCACACTCTCAACACAAGAGCAAAGAAATATTCTCTGAAACAGAACATTTAAAGAGTAATATGTTCATATGCAGTCCAGCTCCTTGGTCACTATTATTTTCAATGTATGATCTTAATTAAAATAGTATTTAAGTACCTTGCCTTTAATATTTATCCATAAACCATTTATGTGCTATATAGCATCTTATTTCTTCCATTTTACAGTTGAAACAAATGATAAAGTGCATATTGCTAAACAAGAGAGGGAACAACAAACCAACCTTTGGTCCCATGACTGAATACACAGATTTACCCTGATTTGTACTTCTTAGCACTAAATAAGACTTAGAGTAACTTGTCTTTGAGAAAGCGGGTCCAAAACAGAGCTAAGAAAAGAGCTAACAGACACTATAGATAATCACAGATCAATCCAGTGCTCACGCTCATTCCCTAGCCCTTTTTCATTTATCAGAACAGAGGTACTCTGTGATGCTAAGTGACTTGCCAAGAGAAGCTATAGTGCAACAGGAAAACTCTGGTTCAACTTGATATTGCAGGCTAATATCTCCACTACTTGGCCATTGATCCTCTGAAGCATCACACACAAAAAAAACTACTTTGTTTTAAAAGCAGTTAAATTGTGGACCTCACTGCCAAAAGGTAACTTCGAAGCCTAAAGCTTATTAAGAGCATTAAATATCCTGACTGACAAGATGTTTCCAACTTCCTGTTTCTGAAATTGGGGGGGAGGGTGGGAAGAGGGAGGAAAACAAGTAAACAAAAGCCAAAACAAACCCCTTCATCTAAGATCTCTTCCTACATGTCCTTAAGCCAAGACCTCTTCCTACATGCCAACTGTTTTTCTATCAGCCACTGATTTCAAAGATGAACAAGAACTACAATGCAGATAGAATTGTTTAAGCCTTATTTCTTTAGGGAAAAAGCAATTAAAAGAATATTACTATCTTTTGAGAATAAGAACATACTGAATTAAACCAAGCATTATAAAGAATTTAAACTACTTAGATAGTTTCTAGCTGATAAAACTAGGGTTTTTTTCTCCGTTTAAATTAGTTCATTTAAAGGTAGCCCTGAAATTGATCATTATGTGATGGCTTACAGCTAATTTTTAAGCACTTAATGCCAGATAAAAACAAAGACTGGACAAAAGAGTAAGTGGGTGATCTCATCTAACATGGTAATTCCTTCTCTTACAATTATTGATGTCTTCCGTACAACTTCCATCTTTTAACAGTTCATTTATATCAATTTCTTACACCAAGAATGTAGTACCTACATTCACCTAGCCAATATGTTTATTTTTTCCCCTCTTGGTACTGCTGTCTCAAGCCTATTTTGTCCCAATAAATGGGCTTCCTTCCTGACCCCATGCTCTGTAGTTTCATGATATCCCCTCATTGCAGAGTTTTTAGGCTTCTGAATCCTAGCCGACCTGGCACTTCTCTAAAAAGGAAAGGGAAAAACTAATAAGGTAGGTAGTTCCCTTCATCACACAACTGTGCTGCCCAGTACCTCACAGTACTCAAGTACAAAGACATTGCCACAGTCTAGTACTCTGTGGGCAGAAATTCAGTCAACATCACAGAAAATTAAAGAGCTATGCAAGACAGCTATTTAATACGCTGTTATTAGCAGTGGACCTGTCAGTTCCCAACCACGGCCAGCAAATTTTCCATACGCAGGTACAAACAACTCAGGCCCAACCCGTATGACACGAATCTTTTTAAAAGCAGGAAATACAAGACACAGCTTCCCATACCTGCAGGCCGACCCCACGTTTCCCCGGACGAGAGGCAGTGCTACCCGAGCGCCCGTCACCGCCCCTCAGGCACCTCCCCGCGCCCGCCT